TACTTGGCCCGTATCTACAGGTTTTTACACCTTTTCCTTGCCAAGAACAGTAACAATGTGTATAAAGTAAGTAGATGCATGCAGTGACATTATCTCATGTGAGAACAGGTGTCAGAGGGAAAATGCCGTGCATAAACAAGACTGAGTTTGAAACTTAGCTCTGGACGGGCACGGTGGCTCACGCCTGTAATCCTAGCACTCTGGGGGGGTGGGGAGGATTGCTCGAGGTCAGGAGTTCAAAACCAGCCTGAGCAAGAGCGAGACCCGTCTCTACTATAAATAGAAATAAATTAATTGGCCAACTAATATATATAGAAAAAATTAGCCGGGCATGGTGGCGCATGCCTGTAGTCCCAGCTACTCAGGAGGCTAAGGCAGAAGGATTGCTTAAGCCCAGGAGTTTGAGGTTGCTGTGAGCTAGGCTGAGGTCACAGCACTCACTCTAGCCTGGGCAACAAAGCAAGACACTGTCTCAAAAAAAAAAAAAAAAAAAAAGAAAAAGAAACTTAGCTCTGACTCAGTTGACGATCCCGGACAAGTTCCTTAACCTTTTGATTCCTCAATATCCTTATGTGTAAAATCAAGAGATAATACCTCCCTAACAAGATTGTCGAGAGGAATAAATTAAGGGATACACTGAGCATAATACATTGCACATAGTGGCCACTCAATAAAACATAGTTATTCTCAATTATGAGGCAACTGAATGTCAGAAAGGTTCACTTAGGGTCAATTAATTCTTAAACCGAGCTTAGAAATCAGATCTCCACGGCCTGTGCTAGACACTGGAATAAATTAGCCAGGTGAGATTTCAGTGTTTGAAGAACTTGTATGGGTCAGAGATAGTAACAAATACTACATAGTATGATAGATGACATGCCGGAATTGTGTGCAAAGTACTGAGAAACCACAGAGATGGGAATTAATTTTGTCTAGAGAAATAGCAGTGAAGGTGACACTAGAGTTAGGGCGGAGTCTAGGGTAATTTCTGGCCGCTGAGTCTCAGCAGCTGCCGGAACCAAGGTGCTGTGGGAGTAGAGAGTGTCTCGGCCGGATATCGTTACAGGACCAGATCAAGGCCGTTCCTTCAGTGTTTTCAGACCCCCAGGGATCGCGGCTGGTGCGGCGGACCTTCGGTTTGCACAGTGAGAGGCTGCAGCAGCAAAGGATGAGCGGAACCCTGGAAAAGGTAAGGAAGATTCCATGCACATGGCGCGCGGGGGAGACCGTCAGGAGAGCAAGAGCTGGAAGGTAGCGGCGCGTAGACATCCGGGTATGAGACAACGGGAGAGCAAGGCCCTTCCCAGCAGCCCATGCGGCGCCGCATAGCGAGGAGGCTGCGCGCCGACTCTTCTTTGACCCAGAAGGACTCGACCGCGCTGACCCGTACCACGTCACCACTACTTGCAACGCTCTCCACCCAGTGCCAGGAACGGGGAGCGCTCCTCAGTGGGAATCACGACAGCAGGATACCGCGATAAAGTGTGTGACCTTGGTCAGATCATTTTAGTTTTGCATTTAGTCATCAATTTCCAGAATTTTTTCTAAGCATACAGTTTTGACTTGCTGAACTGATTAGGGTGTGAAGCTACCTGGTGATAACGAAAGGGTAATAGTACACTACGTTTTTATTTCCAAGACCTTATTTAAGTGACTGTCATAAAACCATATGAATGACCTTAAATCCATTCCTTGGCCTTCCCTGTTCCATTAACAGATTTAACAAATTTCAGTTGTGCTCTTTTCAGTTGTATCATGCTGCTTAGATTGATTAATGACTCATTTTAGCAGTTTATATTAATATTTTATGTTAGGCATTAATTATGGTGCCTGTATCTCCATGATGCATAGGTCATCTTGGTGGTTACGCCTCATGGATCTACCTGTAGTTACCTTGGGGCTGTCCCTGAGTGTCTAAGGGCCCAAGCCTCTATTCATCCTTTATGAAATGACTGACTTGGTCACCTTAGCCAATCTGTGATAATTTGGTCATGTCTAGTGTAAGAATAATAAGAAAAAAATCATAAAGTTTCAGGCTGGGTGCAGTGTGGTTCATGCCTGTAATCCTAGCACTTTGGGAGGCTGAGGTGGGAGGATTGCTCGAGGCCAGGAGTTCCAAACTAGCCTGAGCAAACTAGCCTGAACAAGAGCGAGGACCTGTCTCTACGAAAAATAGAAAAATTAACAGGGTGTGGTGGCTCACGCCTGTAAGTCCCAGTTACTCAGGAGGCTGAGGCAGGAGGATTGCTTGAGCTCAGGAGTTTGAGGTTGCAGTGAGGTATGCTGACACCACTGCACTCTAGATTGGGGGACAGAGTGAGACCTTGTCTCAAAAAAAAAAAAAAAAAAGACTAATTAGGGAGGGCATGGCTGCACCAAGTTGCAGTCTGTAATCTCTGTCTCTACCCTCCTTTAAAAAAAAATCATAAAGTTTCAAAATTCTGTTGTTAAAGATGGTCACATTGGTGACTTCACTCTCGTGCTCTGTTTGCCTTGATTCTGAGGAATGCTGAAAGGGAACAATCCCTTTTCAAGGAATACTATTTCCAACCATTCTATATTTCAAAACAGCCCATGGAAATCTGTCATTAAGGCCAGCATCTAAAGATACAAGGGCATGTAGGGCCTCTCTAAATCTGATGCCATTGTTCCCTTCCAGACTCCTTTGTTACTGACTTTACTCTTCCATTCAGCCCTCCTGCTTTGGCCTGCTAACCTCTTCATTATTTCCCAAATGCTGAATTGCTGATCCTTAATCTTGTGATGCCTTCTCACTTGGAGTGCCCTCCCTGTCTCACTACCTCTCCAAATGCTCTATCCGTCAAGGCCCACCTTGGATCTCTTCCATAAAACCTTTCTGACCACTCTGGCTCAAGTGCCTGTTTCTTTTCTTTTTTTTAGAGACAGGGTCTTACTATGTTTGTTGCCCAGGCTGGAGTGTAGTAGCTATTCACAGGCCTGCTTATTAGGATGGAAAGCTCATTAGGTGCTCTCGGCACTGGGAGAGAAAGATTTCTAATGCAGAGATTAGGACATATAAAAGTGAAAAAGTTTATTTTATCTACTTAGAAGGAGAGAGAGAAGGGGAAAAGAGGGAGAAAAAGAGAGCAGGGACACAGTGTAGCATCCCAAAGAAAGAGAAGAGGGTGCCAGTCCTGAGGCCAAGAGGCTTGCTGATTTTAAGGGGGATGAAGAGCAAAAGAAATAGCAGTGGCTGTCGACTGATAACAAAAGCAGCAGGATATCAAAGCCCAAGAGTTGGTATCTCAGGAGCTATGACTCTGCTCTTGAGATGTGGTCGAGGCTGTAGCTCTTTTTTTTTTTTTTGAGACAGAGTCTTGCTTTGTTGCCCAGGTTAGAGTGAGTGCCATGGCATCAGCCTAACTCACAGCAACCTCAGACTCCTGGGCTCAAGCAATCCTACTGCCTCAGCCTCCCAAGTAACTGGGACTACAGGCGTGCGCTGCAATGCTCAGCTACTTTTTCTATATATATAGTGGCCACTTAATTCTTTCTATTTATAGTAGAGACCCGGTCTCGCTCTTGCTCAGGCTGGTTTCGAACTCCTGACCTCAAGCAATCCACCTGCCTCAGCCTCTCAGAGTGCTAGGATTAGAGGCTGTAGCTCTTATCCTGCTGTTTACTTAGGAACTCTGTAAAAAAAATAGTCTCAAAAAATAATTTTATTTTAATTAAATTTATTGATTAATTTTTGAGACAGAGTCTAACTGTATTGCCCAGGCTAGAGTGCTGTGGCATCAGCCTACCTCATAGCAACCTCAAACTCCTGGGCTCAAGCAATCCTCCTGCCTCAGCCTCCCAAGTAGCTAGGACTACAGGTATGCACCACCATACCCAGCTAATTTTTTCTATATATTTTTAGCTGTCCAAGTAATTTCTTTTCTATTTTTAGTAGAGACGAGGTCTTGCTCTTGCTCAGGCTGGTCTCGAACTCCTGAGCTCAAACGATCCACCTGCCTTGGCCTCCCAGAGTGCTAGAATTACAGGCGTGAGCCACCACGCCTGGCTTGCCTATTTATTTTCTGAACTCCTATTTCTGAGCTCCTAAGTCTTGTGACCATCCTTGCTTCAATCTGAATTGAAGTGTTAGTTAATACATTATTAAGGAAAGCTATGGGATTTGTAGCACACCTGAGTTCTGTCTCTTGCTAGCTATGTAACCTTGGGCAGGTTATTTAACTTCTCTGTGCTTTAGTTTCCTATCTGTAAAATGCAGATGACCACATGTAATTGTTATAAAGATTATAGAAGATAATGTGAGTAGGAGTATTTTGTAAGGTGTGAAAAATGATGCAAGAAAGAGTATTGATATTATTCTGTAGTTAATAAACTTTCATTTGATCTTCACAATATTATGAGATAATCCTGGAAGATGCAATAGATGAGGAAATGGAAGCCCCGCACACAGTGTCTGGTATATAATAGGGCCTAAAATGTTCTACTGAATGCCTTTTTTTTTTATTTTTATTTTTTCATTTTATTTTATTTTTTATTTTTTTTCCCCTCTGCCTTCCTCCAGCTAATTCCCCTTTTTTTTTAAATTTTAAAATTATATTTTATTTTATTAATTATACTTATTTTTTTCTTTCATTTTCCTAAATGTAAGAACGTGTTCTGTAATATGTATGCCTTGAATGAATGAATGCCTTGCTTATAGGTCAACAGCCTCTAAGTGTGGTACTGAGACTGGGACCTAGATTTTCTACCCCTTGTGAGACCCCACTGCTTTTGCTTTTTTCTTTCTTTTTAAAAAATTTTTTTTAGAGATGTGGGAATCTAGCTACATTTCCCAGGTTGGCCTTGAACTCCTGGACTCAAGTGATCCTCCTGCCTCAGCCTCCCGAATAGTTGGGGCTATAAGTATGCACCATCATGCCTGGTGCTTTTCCTCTTCTGAGTATTTCACATCTCCCTAATTTGATAATAATCTTGGTTTTCCTCATCTGTGGAATGAGGAATGAAAACCTTTCCCAGGTGTCAATCCCTTCCTTCTTTGTAACCCATACAGCCGATTGTGCTATACACATTGCAATGTAATAAATAATTTGCGCACCTACCTTCCTCACTAGAACATTATGTGGGTAGGCAGCTGTATTTTCATTTTGTCTATTTGCACCTACCCTATAGTGTATTTGGCCTAAAGTAGGTACCTGATAAATGTTGAATGAATAAGTGAATGAGCAAATGTTGTTGCATGCTAAGTCCACAGTATAGCTGAGACTATTAATATAATTTCTAACTTCTAATCCAGTGCTGTTTCTTTGGGTCCCTAAGAAGTTTTTGGCTGCAAGTCATCTCAAATTGTAGATGGGTAAGAAGCCCAGCTTTGCTAGAACAAAAATGGATGGAATCTTTACCTCTTTGGGTCAACAGAAGGAGTATGGGAGGGGATCCAGATAATAAGAAAGTAATGCTGATATTAATCAGACCCTAGAAAATGTATTGATTGATCAAGCTGGCAGGGTGGTGTCTGGGGAAGTCAGAGTGCACTGAGGCATGGGTAATGACTCACCTGCAGAGTTATTTTGCACAGAAAATTAATGGCTCTGGAGTGTCAAACTCAGGTCTGGCTGCCACTCACCCTTAGATTACCACTATTTTCTCATGGATTACTATACCCCTGCACCACATGGTTTGGTTAGGGGAGGGGTGGTGATCACTAATGGTATGCCAGGTTTTGTCTAATATATCAGCCCAGAATGAACAGCCTTAGGGACTGATCTCAGAGATAATAAGATGTTTTCAGGTGAAAACATTGAAGACAAAAGTGGAGCAGAGTTCATATGAACTAAAAGCAGTAAGGATTGAAGCAAATGACAAACCAGCACACATGAATTAGGAGAACATAAAAAGACATGAACTAAGAGTATACACGTTTCAAAGTGCCTAGATGAGCAGGGAGTCCAAAAACCCAGAATAGTCAAGAAGTTGCCTAATTCCTAATCAACACTAGACTGCAAACTCTGGAGGAGATTTTCTATTTTGTTTTTATCACAATTTTATCTTGAGCACCTGTCATACTCTATGATACATATTGTTTAACAAATGAGGAACTGAATAATAACCACCACGATTATCATCACTGCTGCCAATCTGACCATTAATAATGTACTTTGTACTTGCTAAGGCCTTTTCACATATTATCTAATTTAATCATGTCAACAATTT